AATCTCCTCTTATGTCTGAATCGGTCAGACATAAGAACTTTCAGATCGTTTTTTTTTTYTTTTCAAATTAAGAGCTGAATTCGTTTATTTTCCTCTGAATTTTTAAGTGGTAACCCTAGCACTTAAAACCTCTTATTTCTATCGCCTCCTTACGTCGCTTGTCTCAGTTTACAAAAACAAACAGTCTTACTGATTCAGATTTCAGACGTAAAAACAAACAGTCTGACTGATTCAGATTTCAGATTTCAGACGTAAAAACAAACAGTCTGACTGATTCAGATTTCAGACTTCAGCACCACCTCTTAAAATTCAGAAGTGAATTCAGATTTCAGACTTCAGCACCACCTCTTAAAATTCAGAAGTGAATTCAGATTTCAGACTTCAGCACCTCTTAAAAAACAAACGTTACCTTAGACTATCATGCATCTTTTCATATACACATATTTTCAATTTATTCACATCTCTATATAACTCATTCGTATATATGTTCAGTAATTGTGAACATATATATGTAAATTGTGAAAATTAACTGAGTGTGATATACATAAGAAATATGGATAAGTTGTATCAAATGATTGATAATAAAAAAAATTATTAGTAGAGAAATAACATATTCAAGGTTAGAAGAATATTTTAATGTACCAAAGTATTAACCCGACCGACCTGACTAACCCCATCAACCCGTACGGGTTGGGTTGCACTTTGATTTGGGTTGAGTTGGGTTAATATTTTTTCAAACCACAAGCAATGGGTTGAGTTGTTCAAATGTCTTCAACCCGATCAACTCAACCCATAAGCACCCCTACTTGTGTTCGACTCAAGGCTCAAAAGAGTTACTCCATCCTTGGTTGTGGCTCAAGGCTCATGCTCGACGCCACACTAATTTTGTGKCACCCCATGATCTTACGTGTGATTTTGTAAGACGATTTCGGTTTTTCTTACATTTGCAGTGTTAAATTTTTAGTTTTTAAGGGATAATTTTATTTAAATTGTTTAATATAATTGACTCAGTAAATAGTAGAAAATATGTGTGTGTATGTATTGAGACACATATTTGCCGCCAAAAATTACGTTTGAAAAACGTTATGGTCCCCATCATGACTTACAAGGTTTCGGGCTTGAATTCGTCGTCACACTTTTTCCCACGCCATTTAAAATCTTGATTATCTATACTATATTATAAAGTTTTTGATAAAAATTCTTAAAAACCATTTTTTATGTACGAAATATTGTTTATTAATACATATTACTTAAAATTCAATATTACAAGTAAATTGTGTGTAAGTACAACTTATTAAACCTCCATGTTTGAATTCGTGTAACTAATTGCAAATAAACTTTTTTTTTTGAAAGGCAAAAGGAAGGACAAGGAAGAGAGCTTCGGCAAGGCCAACACCCTCACCAAGCCAACCACTATATTAAAACAAAAACAAATCTAGCAAGAAGCTAGATACAAGAAAATACAACGCAACCAAAAATACGAGGGGCAAAAAGACGGAACCAAGACATCCCCTTACAAAACCAAAGTAAAAAAGAAAACCTATCCCAAACAGACGGGAGGACAAAAACCAAGAGACTAAATAAAATAGGGAGAGGAAGACCAAACTTCCCAATTAAGATGAAATTTACGATTTCTGTTTCCCATTCAAAGCTTCGAGATATTTTGAACACAAGAGAATGGATCTTCACCTTTTTTTCTTCGTTTTCACCTCATCCTCAGCATAAAGAATTTCGTTCCGCCACTTCCAAAGATGCCAAAGAGCCACAGCGCATACTGATAAAAAGATTATACCAACCTTGCGAAGAGATCCTACTTGTTTGATCAGCATTTTAAAATCAGCCACCGATGAAAGTCGTGGAGCTTTAAGATCCCACCAAGCCCAAATTTTCCTCCAAAGAATGCTTGCCACTGAACAAGAAAAGAAACAGTGATCCATTGTTTCGACACCTTTTTCACACAGGATGCACTCTAAAGACTGTAACTGAATCCATCTCTTAGAAAGATTAAATCTTACGGGAATAGCCTCTTTAAGAAAACGCCAAATGAAAATGTTTACCTTCTTCGTAATTAAGGGGCTCCAAAGACAAGGATCGTTGCTTTCACCATTCGAATCAGCTAGCTCTTGGATTAACTTTGACATGTGTTTTACCGTGAAAATCCCTCTTTTGTGCCAATTCCAAGACCACACATCCTCGCCCGAAGTATTAAAATGCGTTTGAGAGAGTTGCCTTTTTAAGGCTAGAAGATCATCTAAGCTTCTTCCTCTAACCGTTGTATTCCAGTTCCAAGTACCAGACCAAGAACCATTAGCATAGGTCCATCTATCTTTGAAGACAACGTTTTTATCCCTTTCTAAAGCATAAAGTCTAGGGAATATATCTTTCAGCTTTGACCCTTGACCTATGCTTGCGTCTTTCCAAAAGAGAGAGTTAGACTCTTTAGCAATCTGTTTCGTAAACTAGTGAATGACATTCTGACTTTCCACTGTCACATTTCTGCAAGTGTTGACAATAGAAGCCCAAACACTATTTCCAGCCAAAGGCCTATTAGAAAAGAGACCACCACCCTCGCCATAAAATTCAGAAATTACATCCTTCCATATGGCATTAGAACTAGATAGAAACATCCAGATCCATTTTGCTAACAAAGCATCATTTTTTATTTTTAAACAGACAACTCCCAAACCACCTTTTGACTTTGAGCACAAAATTTTCTCCCAAGCGACCCAATGCATTTTTTTTTCCTCCTCCTTATGTCCCCAAAAAAATCTTCTCCTTATAGATTCCAAGTTGTTGATAACTGACTTGGGCGCTTTGAAGAGAGAGAAGTAGAACAGCGGAAGGGAAGATAGCACTGACTGAATTAGTGTAAATCTTCCGCCTATGGAGAGGCATTTTGACTTCCAGTTCGACAGATTTTTTAGAAATTTGTTTTCCACAACTGACCAAGAAGCTTTTTTCTTCATGTTACCACCAACGGGAAGTCCCAGATAAATGAAAGGAAAAGAAGAGGCCTTGCATTTTAACATACCAGCCATATTGTTGAYCTCCRCCTCCGGAACTCCAATACCAAAAAGGTTGCATTTGGATATATTTATCCGCAGTCCTGAAACTTCATGAAAGCAATTAAGAATATTAGTAAGAGTTAYTAAATTCTTACGCGACCATTTACCGAATATTAAAGCGTCATCCGCGAACTGAAGGAGAGAAATATTTCGATTGGATTTAGCCAGCCGGATGCCTTTAAACAGCCCCTGGTTGCAAGCAGATTTTATCATGAGATGTAAGACTTCCCCTATAAGCAGAAAAAGAAACGGAGAAAGGGGGTCTCCTTGTCTTAGTCCCCTTTGCATRTGAAATTCATCGGAAGGCGTTCCATTTATCAATATGGACGTAGAGACAGATTTTAAGCAAACTTTAATCCAATTGATCCATTTATCTCCGAATCCCATTTGCTTCATAGTATGAAAAAGAAAATTCCAGTTGACCGAATCATAAGCCTTTTCAAAATCCACTTTGAAGAGGAACAATTGCATTTTCTTCTTTTTGGCATGATTCACTATTGCAAATAAACTTAATCAGATACAAGATAAATATCTAATTTTAAATATAAAAGATCTAAAATATTAGGATAATCATTAAGTTATAACAGAATATTTGATTATCATCTTTATAAAAAAATATATTATTACACCTAAATTAAATTACTTCATTATGTTAAATTAAATTATAATAAAAATTTTGAATTAAATAAATTACATAAAACTAAAAAATTTAAATAGTTAATTTAATACTAATATCCACATAAATTTTTCAAAATTATATGATATTTTAAAATTTATATTCTATCCAAAAATATAAACATTATCATTTTCTCAAAACCACATAAAGCCATATTATATCAACAAAGATAAAGAATAAAATAAAAATAAAATAAAATCGAGACGTGTCTTGATGCATTGCATAAATACCTTTCTAGTTATACTAAAGAGTCTGACAAGGACTGTATTTACACACTTTTTAAGGTCATATTAATTATAAGTTTTTGCTTTTAAAATATTATTTAAACAATGTTTCAGTAAGGGGCTTTTTGACAGTTACAAAATGGTTTAATGTAGAATAATTAAGTTAAAAAGCTTTCATGATATAATGTAAAATAAAATATTATTGTTTGGTAATTGTTTACAATGAAATTAGACGTTTAATGGTTAAGGGAGACTTATTATACAAAATCATTCAGATGGTTTTAGAATCATTAAGAGACAAAATATTTTTTTTTGCCAAACAAGATTTATCTCTTAACGATTCAGAGACTGTGTCTTAATTGAACTATTAAGAGGTAAACAAAACCCCTAAGTTTTAATTGCCACTCCTCTGCTGTAACTTTCTACCCCCAGTACATGTTCCCTCTCACACACCCTCTGCATGTCACTCTCCTCACACACTCACACCCTACATAATCTCACCTCCCTCACATGCACCCATAAGAAGGGGTGAGGTTAGAAAAACCCTTTTTTTATATTTGACAAATTTTTTTAATACGTTTTCTTATATTGACGTCTACTTAATAAACTATTTTTCATCGAACAAAATTAATTTATCATTTACTTTTTTAACTAATAATTAACTTTTAAGGAATTGGTATTCTAGTCATTGTTATTTCTGATTTATTATTTAACTCTTAATAGTTTCATTAAGAGACAACTTCTGAACTGGTAAGAGGTGAATTTTGTTCGATAAAAAAAGTCTACCTTCTAATGATTTTGTATCATTTAATCATTCAACTTCTTAATTTTATTATAAACAATTATATTATATTTTATATTATATTATAAGATTCATTTAATCATTCTGTATCAAATCGTTCAACAACCGACAAATAATTGTTGTAAAAAAGATATATTTTAAGCTGTTTCCCTTTTTGAAAACATGAAAGCTTACAAGAAAAAGATATTATACATTATATATAACGGGGAAAAAAAATATTTCAGAGGTCCATTAATGGCTGCCGGGAGACAGACAATGGCTGGATCCTTTATTATAATGGAAAGATAAAGACACCACTGACCTCCATTAATGGCTACTGGAAACGGAATAGCATCTAAATTCCATCTCTTCCCCACTTTTTCCCCATCAAATCCAAGCTTCTTCCACATTAATTCTTAACAAATTTCGAGCAAAACCCCAATTCCTGTTCTTATTGCTTTCGATTCGAAATAATTTCCACAGTTTAATTCAGTTTTTGCAGAAACAGAGCTATGGATCCAGATCTGACCAAACCATGGGCGTTGCCGGAAGAATTTCTGAAACGAACATTTGCGTTGATCAACTCCGATAAGGATCGGAACTCGGCGTCACTCGTTTGCAAAGACTGGTACAACGCCGAGCGGTTTAGCCGCCGCCACGTCTCCATCAGAAACTGCTACTCCGTTTCACCGGAAATTGTAGCTGCGAGGTTTCCGGGGATCCGGAGCGTTACACTGAAGGGGAAGCCTCGGTTTTCCGATTTCAATTTGGTGCCGGAGGATTGGGGAGCCGATGTTCAATCATGGCTGAGTGTTTTCGCGGCGGCGTATCCTTTTCTGGAGGAGCTGCGGCTGAAGAGAATGGCGGTTTCCGATGAGAGTTTGGAGTATTTAGCTATGAATTTTCACGGTTTTAAAGCTTTGTCGTTATTGAGCTGTGATGGTTTCAGTACTATTGGGTTGGAAGCCATTGTTACTCATTGCAAGTAAGGTTTCTTTCTCTCTTTCCAGTAATTGCAAGAAATTGGTCCTGGGGGCAAAGGGGCGAAACGATTTTACTCAAATACATAACAGGTTCGGGGAGACGGGCTTGAACTACTCCGTTAAGGTCACCCCTTAGTCGGTTCTGAAATACCTCGTCACATGTCGGGGGCGGGTTCCATGTGGGACGGTCGGGGCGACTTTACTCAAATATACAACAAGTTCAAGCTGTGGGAGATGGGATTAAGCCCCTCTGTTTGTCTCAGCCATTGATTCAGCTCTGAACTACCTTCTGACATATAAAAGGGGGCGGGTTTTGTGGGGGCGGTTAGAGCGACTTTGCTCAAATATAAAATGGGTTCAAGTTCGAATCTTGTGGAGACGGGCTTGAACCCATGTGCTTGTCTCGGTTGTTGAGTCGGCTCTCCTCAAATGTGCTTCTTGGGGGCGAGTTTCATGTGGGGCTTGTCAGAGCGACTTTGCTCAAATATACAACAAGTTCAAGTTGTGAGAGATGGTTTAAGCCCCTCTGTTTGTCTCAGCTACTTGAAATACCTCATGACATATAATAAGGGGCGGGTTTTGTGTGGGGGAGGTCAAAGCGACTTTGCTCAAATATAAAACGGGTTCAAGTTCAAATCCTCTGGAGACGAGCTTGAACCCATCTGCTTGTCTCGGTTGTCAAGTCGGCTCTCCTGAAATGTGCTTCTTGGGGGCGAGTTTCATGTGGGGATTCTCGGAACGACTTTGCTCAAATATAGTACACGGGGCGGGTCCTTGTGAAGTCGGTCGGGATTGCCAGTAATCAACATTTTGTTCAAAAAATTGCAAGAAATTTGTTGAATATAAATCAATAATTTACATAAGAGGCACAATTGTTTGGTTTTATAAACTTAAGTTCTATAAATCAGTCTAATTAAAACATTTAGACATATTTGGCGTACTATAAAACCAATTCTGTTGTAGTCTCCATCTCTTTGCGTTGTTTCTTGACGAACTTTGAAATCTTGATTTTGTAGAAACTTGACGGAATTAGACCTACAAGAGAATGGGATCGACGATCTTGGTGGAGATTGGTTGAGTTACGTCCCGGAAAACCTAACCTCGTTAGAAGTTCTCAATTTCGCAGCTCTGGATAGCGAAGTCAGCTTCGATGCGTTGGAGAGTCTCGTTTCTCGATGCAAATCGTTACGGGTTCTAAAAGTTAACCGAAAGATAAGTTTGGATCAATTGCGAAGGCTTATCGAGCTTGCTCCAAAGTTAACGGAGCTCGGTACCGGTTCATTCGCGGAAGACCTCGTGTCGAGTTCCGTCACCGAGCTCGAAAGTGCATTCAGCAAATGTCGAGATTTGCATACGCTTTCCGGTTTTTGGGACGTTACTTTGCTTTATCTACCCGTTATATTTCCCGTTTGCGGTAATTTGACGTTTTTGAATCTGAGTTACGCGACTCTCGGGGCTATTGAACTCGAGTGCATTCTTACTCGTTGCAAAAGCCTACGTCGCCTTTGGGTAAGTTGTTTCGCCCTGACCGGGTTTTTCTCGGACTTATTTTCGCCATTCTCTTAGTTCTCAAGAATTACAAATGTTTTCAGGTTCTTGATACGGTAGGCGACGAGGGTTTAGAAATGGTTGGATCGTGCTGCCCGTTGCTAGAAGAACTCCGAGTCTTCCCAGCCGATCCATTTAACCAAGAACTCGGTGTGACGGAGTCGGGTTTCCTGTCTGTATCTAACGGCTGTCCGAACCTACATTACGTGCTCTACTTTTGCCAACGGATGACAAATGCTGCAGTCGCCACCGTTGCCCAAAACTGCCCGAATTTCACTCACTTCCGTCTTTGCATAATGAGTCCCGGAGAACCAGACTACCTAACTAACGAGCCCATGGATGAGGCCTTCGGTGCGATCGTCAAGACATGTCCCAACCTTCGACGGCTCTCCGTTTCCGGCCGGTTAACCGACCTCGCTTTCGAATACATCGGAAATCACGCGAAAAACCTCGAGACGTTTTCGGTGGCGTTTGCAGGCACTAGTGATTTGGGGATGGAGTATGTGATGAGAGGCTGCCCGAAACTGAGGAGGGTCGAGATACGAGACTGCCCGTTTGGAGACAATGCGTTGCTTTCGGGTTTGGCCCAATACGAGTCGATGCGGTCGTTGTGGATGTCGGCTTGTAATGTGACGACCGACGGTTGTAAGAAGTTGGCCGACGAGATGCCGAGATTGAACGTTGAGGTGATCAAAGATGACGGTGGTGAAGATGGCAGTGCCGATAAGGTTTATATCTATCGAACCGTTGCTGGACCAAGAACCGATGCTCCTCCGTTTGTTGTGACACTTTGACTGAACGTCAGGCGGGCCTAGTGCTCGAGAAACGCTGTCGATGCCTGAGTTTCCGATGCGAAAAACGTCTGTAGGAACGTATTTATATTTTGATTTGGGTTGTTTTGCGACTCTAATGAGGTAGAACAAGAGAATGTACTTCGGAGAATCATTTGTTATTTTAAATTATGATATTTGATATCTTTGACCCAATTTGTATAACTGGTTGTTTGGTTGGTTTTTTATTAAGTCTTGTATGAATAAAGCTGTCTGTATGGATTAATTTGTCTATATAGATTGAAAAAGATTTTTGTTCTCTTGGGGTTTTTCATAGATGGAATAAGCGTATTTTTTTAATTTGGATGATCGGGTTTGGGATTTTTTTGGTTATCTGCATAAAACTTTCTCTAGAAGCTTACGAAATAAGTCACTACCAAATGATTATGTATATTTGACCCAATAAGGTGCGAGTCCCATTAAACTTCTAATAACAAACATGCTCTGAGAAAATATTGATCTGGTTGATCTAAAAAAGGATTAAAAGATCGGATTAGTCCGGGATCGACTTCATCCACTTTCGGTTCTTCCAAGCTCTACTTGGTGCAAAAAAAGAAACGAGTTTTAATCTGATCTGATTCATATATATATATATATATATATATATATATATATATATGAAAAATAGGGTTGAGTTTCGATAAGAATGAGGGTTAAAGTGAGAAGTTCAAAAAGGAATATCTCTCCATAGATGCACGTCAGGATGACATGGCATCGAGATACACTAGATCAATCCCCTTATCAAGCGTGATTCATGGATGAGTTTGAGATTACAGGTGATCAAGGGTCTAGATCCCTTCTTATACTTCTTACCCTAACTCTCCTTATCACACGATACTTCGCCATAAAAAAATTCAAACAGAACCCTGAAAAGAAAAAAAAAAAAAAACACTCATCAGAATCATTAGATTATGATGATTTAAAAATATTGCTATGAACACCTTTTAAAAGAAAATAAAAATGTTTTTTAAATCAAAAATTAACGAAATATAATAAATATTGAAGCGAACCAAATTCCACCAAAAAAAAATGGGCCTTAAGTTGGGCTTCAAATTCCTGGCTCCTGCCATGAGCATTGGGCTTTATACTCCCACTATCGGGCCACTTTTTACTCGGGCCGGGTTAGATCGTAGGTTTATCTGGTGATTTTTTCGTCTATTGGACTTTCGTCCTTATGTATGCAACATTCCGTTGTTTTACATAGCAGGACGACATTCGTAATGCTCAAGGGTTACATACGGTCTCGTTCTGATAATGAGCCACAAAAGCTTTTTCTGAACCTTTTTTACGGAAGGGACAAACCCGTTAGAAAAGCGATCTTAGACAACTATTTTTATTTTTGAAAAAATAGACGAACATAGGTAAATATGCTAGGCCCGACCCGGCAGTCTCGAGCCAACAAACGATAATGACCGATTTTTTACAAGTGACGGGTCTTCACAAAAACAATATGTCTATATACCAGGGTAAAGGTAAGATTTTTGTATGTATCATACCTTTCCGTAAACCTGTATCATCTGGGATTTACTGGATACGTTTGGTTTTAATAAATTACCTCATTATGTCTTTATTAACGGGTTTTATTACCGTTCAATCATTTCATTTTCTCAAGTTCAATGTTAACGAGATTAGTCATCAATTCTGTTGTTGTGGTCGGACTCTATTATGGATTTCTGACGATGGTAGCAACGGGGATTTTTATTGTAGCTCGACCTTTCCTTCTGGGGGTAGGAAAATCATGATCGAGATAAAAACGATTATTCAATATGGTCATTTATTTTGAAACGAGGGGCAGAGACCGACTCTATTATTATATAACTAGAAGGGTACTCGTGCAATGCAACGAGATACATCTTTATTTTAATATTTCGTTTTATTATTTATCTCAGTCGATGTTAGAATATGGTCTTATGTGATTTTGAAAAAAACGATAATGTTTTTATTTTTGAATAAAATGTAAATTTTAAGATATTATAAAAATTCGACAAAAATATATCGATATTAGTATTAAATTAACTATTTAAAATTTCTTTTTTTTTTTTGTATAATTTTTTATTATAATTTAATTTAGATTAAATAACGAAGTAATTTATATTTGGTTTAATAATATAATTTTTTATAAAGATAATAATTGATTATTTTGTTAAAACTCGATAATTATTCTAATTATATTTTAGATTTTTTATATTTTATATAAGATGTTTATCCTCTATTTGATTATGTTTATCCGCAGTTAGTTACACGAATTCAAATATGAAGTTTTAATGAGTTGTACTTATACATAATTTACTTGTAATATTGAATTTTAAGTAATATGCATCAATATACAATACTTTATGGATAAAAAATGGTTTTTAAGAATTTCTGTCAAATATTTTATAATATAATATAGATAAACATTTAGTAAATAGGGAGGGGGCATGCATATTTAATTTCCATCCCTACAAATTATGGTGGGGAAAATATAATTAAGAGAAATTTCCATGCAATGAAACATAAATATTAAATGAGTATGTCAATAAAATTGAGGTTTTAATGATTTTTTTTTGTTGGTTGGATATTGAAATAATAAATAACTCAATAATGTCTATATATATAATTTATATTTAAATAGTAAAAACATATACTATAATATCAGTAAAAATACCAAAGGATTTTTAGCCTAGTGGTATCGCAATCTCTAGCCTCTTAGGAGGTCAGGGGTTCAAATTTCACCACAAGTAAAAAGAGTGTGTGAGTTTATTTGTTGCATTTGCCGTATATAAATATTATATATTTCAAAAAAAAAATATTAGTAAAAAATAATATGAAATAAAAATCTACCAAAAATGATGGGTGCATAATATTGAAAGATTCCCCGCCCGATGCTTTGTTAATGTTTTGAAAGCGCCCACGATCTATATCTATGTTAGCAGCTATCATTCGGGAGCTGTTTCTTTTCTCGATCTGATCTCGTACGCAGACGGATAGAAATGCCTTGAGACTATACTTGCAAGTGTACCAATACTCCGTTTTAGGTTACAATCTTATATAAGTTGGGATTTTTCATGAAAACAAAATGTATTACTTTTGGGTCTTGAATAACTATCAACGGATATTAGCAACAAAAAAAAAAAAAAAAACAGTTGTCACAAATCACATCAGAGTTAGTTCAAAAGTCAACCTTACAAACATTCACCTCTCGAACAAATTACTCTTCTGCTTTAAATACTGCTTCAAATAAAATATATTGTACAAATGCACATGGCCTAGACTTTTTCTGGTGGTTTCGACCAGGAGGGACAAAAGAGAGATGCTTTCTGTCAATCGAAAGCAGATGAGTAATAGAAAGGAAGGACCCGTGGGTCTTCCAATTCCGTTTTTAGTGAGTAGAAAAATGCTCGTACCTTTTTAGGCCTAGTTCGGACTTTGAGTTGAGAAAGGGCCTGGTTGGACTTTTATAAACCGAACTTTTTGGGCTTTTTTGATCCTAACTGGGTTTTTCCAGACCTTCCTCCAAAATTTCGGCCTAGCTCATACAGGGATTCGGGCTCACTGGGCCCGGGAATTTTCAAGTCAGATCTTGGACAAGGTTTCGAGTTTGAGCTTTTCTTATTTTGCATCTTCATACTGAATTTGTTTGGTTGAGATTTAAAAGAATTTGTGAATACTATTAAGAGGGTGTTTGGGATTGCTTATTTGAAACAAATTATGCTAATCTACAAAAGCACTTATCAACTTAATATAAGTCATAAGGGTTTAACTTCTTTAAAAAGTTTTTATTACCGGTTTGACACAAGTATAAGATGTTTATCCAAATACTTAAAAACGCTTATTATCGGTATCACACCAAAATAAGTCAATAAGTTGCTTTTATAAGCAATCTCAAACACCCTTAAAGGTAAAAGAAGTGAAATGGGTGAGATTACTATTTTGCCCATCCAATGGAGTTGCTTCATAGTCGTAGTCAATGTTTGTATTAATTAAAGAAAATTAAAAATATAAAAAAAGGGAAAATGGGTAATGGAATGGTGGTCCTTACTCTTTGGAAATATGGTCCAATATTTGAATTATTTCATTAATTGAAATATTTTATTTAAAAATATTAAAAATTCTCATAAATTACTGAGTTTTATAAAACCAGTTGGTAAAGAAACAAAACGACTTTTCTTAAATACACAACATGTTAACGTTTGTATCTTGCGGGAAACGGGTGCGAACCCATCTGCTGGCCTCAGCTGTTTTACTCACCTCTGAAATTTCTTCAGTTGGTAAATGAACGGAACGATGTTGTTAAAACACGCAAGATGTTCAAGTTCGAACCATCAAGAAGGGTATAAACCTATCCGCTAGCTTCGGCCATTGAATCGGACAATTAGCTGATTTCAAGGGCAGGTTCTGTATAAAGCTGGTCAAGTTGCCAATAATCAGACAATTAGCTTATTTTAAAAATATGCGAGAAGTATGCTTCGAGGGACAAACAGTCAATTATTGATCTGTTTATAGCTTGTTGGATAGAAGAATAATGAATGCCGTATTATTGATTTCAGATAAAAAAAAAATTCAAAAATATGTTTTAAAATTTTATTTGTACAACTAATTATTTCCGATTAATCTTTAAAAATAATTATTTTTAATAAAGGAATATTAAAATCCCCTTTTAATTTAACTGAGCCAAAGCCTTAGATGAAGAAAGAAAATGTAAATAAACCATAAGGGTGGTGCCAGATTGGTTTGAGATTAGACCCTAAAGATCAAAAATGTCTGGAGGTTTCAGGTTCAAATATGTGGAATAAAAATTCTCTTGTGGGTTTGGAGGGTCAAATGTGGTGACTCCGAGCTACTTGCAAAACAAGTGGTCGTTCTGGGATTAGTCGGCTCGCTTAACGGGTTAAGTATCCAATTTAATAAAAAAAGAAAATGTAAATAAAAATAAAATAAAAAAATTATTTTATAAATAATACAACCATAGAGGAACGTTCAAATAAAAACCATCCAATTTGTACAAACCGTGAAAACCACATTCAACTAATCATAATTTTTCATTTGTTCATTTTTTTTGTAATTATGAGAGGTTGATTAACCATTTTTATTGTGGAGGGTCTTAATCATGGATATTATCATCCTCATTATTTTAATTTTAGAGAAATACATGAAACAATTTCATTAAAATTT